TTTTTTTTTTTTTTTTTTTTATAGGGCGTAGAAATCTCTCTAATAAACGCCTTTTAAAACTGTGAGGCTGACGACGATGTGTAACGGGTAAAAACGAACCACATTGGTAGTGTGTCTACGAAAATCTAGCTCAATTGGAGAGGGAACGGTCAACCATTCAAAAATTACCCCTTCCATTACAAAGAAATAAATAAACTCCATTTTTTGGTGTGTTATAAAAAAAAAAAAATCTAATCAAGTTATGATATGGTTCTATTTATCTTCTCACTAACTCAATCAAATCCACCTTTTCCAGTATAATCTAACATAATTAACATGCTTGGTTGAGAATGATTTAATTTTAGATCATATTTGTAAGATCCTACCTCTGTTGGGAGAGGAATGAAATATTTTTTTTACAAGGGTGTGAGGGCTGACGGACCAAAACAAATAATATTTATTAGTGGTAGGATTGAATTGTTATAAATGTATCGGAACCAAACATTAATATGCAAATCTCATCTGTAACCGCCCAAGTCGAACCATATATACTAGTGGGACTCGTATAGAAACTCAACTATACCTTCAAAATTAAAAACAATCTAATCCATTTATTTTGTTTCAAAGTTAAAACGCAAAAGAATTAACGATCCTTTCCTTTCACTATATTTCGATAAATTTCCATAAATATATTTACTATTAAAAAAAAAAGAGGGAAAAAAGAGATAAACCCTACACTCCGATCTCCGTCTCTTTACCCACTTCTGGTTTCTTCTTCTTCCATCGTTGCCGCAACTGCACGTACGATCCCGAATCAGGTTTTCTTTCTCCTCTCTCTTAATCTCTCTGTCGCAACCTCACATCTTCTCACTCTCACTCTCTCCTCTCCGTTTCCGACTGTTTCTTGACTCGCTTTATCTCCCTGAGCTTCGTTATTATGCACTACAATTCATTTCGTTTTCCTAATTGACTGAAAAGCGGGAGCCCCGTTGCAGGTAGTTCATTCTTCAGTTAGGCCTCAGTTTTCTTCATTTCCATGGCGGTAAGTTGGTTTCTAGTCACTACATTTTCCCAACTGTTATTTCTCATCGGGTTTGAGATCTTTTTCAGCGTTTTTTTTTTGTTACATGAATTTTCACTTCGCAGGTCGATAAACTTCTGAAAGATGAAGCGAGCGAAGAGAAGGGAGAGCGTGCTAGAATGGTATGTATCAATTTTTTTGGTTGATCTTTGATTCTACCAGCGAGAGAAATTTCCTCGTTTATTACCTTTGTAAGTTTAATATCTCTTAATCGATTTTGTAGGCATCATTCATTGGTGCTATGGCGATTGCTGATTTGGTTAAGACAACATTAGGACCAAAGGGGATGGTAAGTTACTCTCCTTAGTCTACTAAATTATGAGATGGATCTCTGAGGGCATTAGGCTCATTTGCGTTTCTTTCCTCTCTCTTCGTTATATCACTACTTTAGAGTTTAGTTTAAGTTTTCATTTACTTTGAGTAAAGATCTGAGAAAACTTAAACAATGGATATTAATAAATCCACCCTGAATCGTTCACTCGTATAGGGGAGGAAGTACAATTGATACCAATCTGACAAAATGTGTCTCTATTTCCTATAGTTATACGATTCCTTGATTGTGCATGAAATACCTTGCAGGATAAAATTCTCCAATCTACTGGCAGAGGAAGGCAAGTCACTGTCACCAATGATGGTGCCACCATTTTAAAGTCTCTCCATATCGATAATCCAGCTGCCAAAGTGCTTGTCGGTATCCTTTATGTCAGTATTTACCATGTTTATGATCAAGGCAATTTCATGATTATTGTAGTTTCAGAAGGTTATTCAATTCTTGTATGGATGCTTTATTTATTTTACTTGAAGTCGTGCTTTTCTTATGGTTTTGAATGGAAAATCCTCAACAACATGGTTAAGACATTTCAAAAGTTCAAGATGATGAAGTGGGTGATGGCACAACCTCAGTTGTTGTTTTGGCTGGAGAACTTCTAAGGGAAGCAGAGAAGTTGGTTGCTTCAAAGATTCATCCAATGACAATTATAGCAGGTTTTTTCTTATTATTTTTATGTTTACATTACTATGTAGTAGTAGGTTCACCATCCTTCCTTTTTGTACGTCCGAACAATGTCTTAAAAGGCTATCGAGGCTTGCCTCAAGGCAAGACTCTAATTTTTATTCTTGAGACTTGTGCCTTGTTTGGACCATGAGAGGCTTACGTCTCTATGAAAACGCACTGAGGCCTAAAGTCTCCGCACCTCGGATAATGATTAGAAAAATAATATTGCCTCATTTTTTAAATATAAAGGTTTGAGTTTTAACCATTTGGACTATTGCTACTTTTACTACTCAGGCTTTAAAAACATTGAAGACAAGAATTGATAAAATAAATCAATCCTATTAGTGTGATGTTAAAGATATCATTTTAGAATTTTTGATTAAGTGGAATTAACAAGGGTGTATATGTATGTTATATATTGATATACATTATGTACGCACAAATTTAGGATTTATATAATGTCATTAACTAAAATTGAGGCTTATGTCTCATACTGGCGTGAGGCTTGTGCTTCGCCCCTTCAAGAGGAAAAGCCTCAATGTTGCCTTTAGCCTTTTAAAGCCTTGAGTTAGAAGGTTGTGTTGTATGCCTGTGTCATGCTTTCAAAAATCTTGGCATCATGTTGTCTTAATGGAATACCTCTCAAATAATTCTGTATTGTCTTCTTTCTATGTGTGTGTATGCATAATGGACATCACTCTCACTCTCTCTCTCTCTCTCTCTATCCCTTTGTTATTCTATGAAAACCAGATGGATTATTTTGATGTTCTTGTTCTCTGGTACCTTCTACCTTGTGATGAGTACAAGATGCTAAAGCTTGTGATGATTCATTTGAAACTTTCAGGTTATAGAATGGCTGCAGAATGTGCCCGTAATGCATTGCTGCAGAAAGTGGTGGATAACAAATCAGATTTAGGTAATAACCCTATCTTTTCTATCATTTTGCCTTCTCTTAGTCCAGCGTGAGACTGTCAAGTGTTTATTTTTTTAGTTAAGAGTATAAATTTCAAATCTTGCGTGGACTATTACTGCATATTCTGAAGCAATGCATTGCCATTTTTTCAGAGAAATTTAAATCAGACTTGATGAAGATTGCAATGACTACTCTGAGTTCCAAAATTCTATCACAAGACAAGGAACATTTTGCTCAATTGGCAGTGGATGCCGTTATGAGGCTAAAGGTGAATGCTCACTCGTTCTTCATTTATTGTGATTTGGGTAAAAATTATCTACAAACAAGTTTGATTGCAAGTTTAAATACTATGATGTTTACTGCTGCCATTTGATGAATACTGTTCCCCATCTTATATATTCTGTTAATATGTGTGCACGAGAGAGAGGGAGGAACATTTTGGATGATGTGTAGCTGTTTCCATGTTATGTCGGTGTGTCTTATATTCCATACCCTTGAGCACTTGTGTCTATTTGAAACTTACTTTGTTGAAATTGCAGGGGAGCACAAACTTGGAGTCAATTCAAATCATCAAGAAACCTGGAGGATCGTTGAAGGATTCCTTTTTAGATGAAGGGTGAGTTTTTTTTTTTGTTTTTGAGGACTACTTAATGAGTTAAGTAGACATAATATATGAACATTTTCTAGAAAGTTCTCTAGATGTACAAGTATACTCACTGCATCTACAAATACACTTTTTTTTCACAGAATTTTTAAAATTTTTGTTTGGGATCATGTTTTTTTTTTTTTTTTTTTTTTTTTTTTTTTTTTTTTTTTTTTTTTTTTTT